TCGTTTCAACTATTTTATTGTAATAGGATTCTCTTGTCAATGACAGTGTTTCTCAAACTTTTTTTGAAGCAATCTCATTAATTAATTTATTTAAATTGTAGTATGAAAAATTTGTTTTTTTTTTATATTCTTTTTTTGAAAATATCAGTTTAATTTAAAACACAATATTGCCTTATAAATGTTTTTATTTACCACGTATTTATTATTATCCTAGTTAGTTTATAATGAAAATACTAACCTAAATAAAAACGGTACCAATATTATTTTTCTATAATAAAATCGTTGAATATAGTTTTTACCCGATTGATACATAAATTGTAGTGAGAAATATTTTAATGCATACCTTTTATATATAATAAAATGACCGCTAGTATGTATGATAAAGGAACGTACCCATACTACGTGAACCGTTTAGTGTTGGAGGGGGGAGTCCTTAAAATACTACGGTCAGTCACAGGAGGGGGGAAGGGGTGGCTCAGGTTTTTGTCACGTAGTCGTTAGTTGTTAATTTTCATAATACATAATTCATTAGTAATTTAAATATACATGCAGTCTTATGCTATAAAGAAGAGTATGAGCCAAATTATTTTTTTTAATTTTTGCCTGTGGTTAATTAATTTAAAAATCATAATTATGAATTACTTTGTAAAAATTAAAGGGGGTTGTCTTGGTATATACTACGAGTGGTCACAAGGGGAGGGAGGGTTGAAAAAATTAAAAAAATACTTCACGTAGTATGGATAAGTTCCCTAAAGTTAGGTTATCTCATCCAAAATGTATGACGGAAAGAAGTTTTAAAGACTTTCATACTTTGGCTAATCGAATGGTAAGTTCACTTTTATATAGAAAAATTGTTGTGGCAGTTAACGTGTTAGAAACATTTGGCAATAGTTTTCAATACAAATACTTTCGTATAAAAAACAGTCCTTTAAATTTTGTATTAAACATACTATTTTTCCATTTAAATATTGTCTATGATTTGATATCACTGGCTACTTAAAACCATTTAAGTCTTTTTTTTTGTAAAATTATAGCTTTTTAGGCTATTTTCATATAATTGATCTGATTTAAGGTTTTTTTTTACTTTTTATTTTTTATTTTCACCCTTAACTTAGGGTAGGCTCCGAGCCCCTCGGTGGGGACGTATAGTGAGCTGATGATGATGATGAAGGTTTTTTTTGGTAAACAGTGTTATAGATAGTTATGTATGGATCCTAATATTTATACAAATTGCATATTTATTCATACTTCATATGATTTGTAAATATATAGGATTGAATTTTAATATCTAGTCCCAGTTTTTTTTTAAACTATGTTTTGACATTTTACATGTATGCCAGTTACTCGTGTATTCAATATTAAAATTTCATTCCATACATGTTCCGTTTCCGTCTTCCATTCGTCAATTTCTTCCAAAAAAATGTACAAATTCGTCAATTGATACTTCCCATATCATTTTAATTATCTATCTACTGTCATTATCGACTTTGCATAATAAATGTTTTTTTTTTAATTTAGTGTAAGGTTTTAATGCATTTTTAAACTGTCAAAAATTACTGTTAAAGTAATTTTTTTTTATTCAAAACTATGGTAGTTGTATTTTTTTAATCTCAAAAAAGGCAATGTACAATTTGTTTGACTTTTTGTCTTTTCCAAACTAAGATTATTGAAGACTGAATATTCACCGATTTTACGGTAATTACCAAAATTCAAACCAAAATATTTTTTTCTTAGATTTATCTTTATAATTAATTTGATGGCAGATTTTTCATATGATATTTGTTGAAGAAGGAAAAATATAACTGTATTGATACTGATGAGGATGAGAAACAAAACTTTGAGAACCTCTGACTTAAATTATTGTTTTCAAAATACGATATTAAAATAAGGGCTTTATGTTTTTTTTATAATGCAATTACAATGCAATCTTTCCCTTTATATACATCTTCTTCATATAAATGATATTTTTAGGTTAGGTTTAGGATATTTTGTTTTTTTTTTGTCTCTTTAAATAAACAAAACATATTTCATCACATTTGGCATAACTTTTTTATCGTTATTTTTTTTTATAATTCTTTTTGGTCTTTTCGAAGAGCAGTTGTTTTTTTACTGTTCGAACACTTAAAAATTGTTTTTTTTTAGGTTAGATTTGTTATGTTTTCATTTAGGCTAGGTAAGCGATTGCATATCAATTATTTCTAGGTTTTTAAGTGCAATATTGATAGGAACCATTGGTTTGAGTATATTCTTGCCGAATATTTGTGATTGAACATTGCTTTACGTGAAAAAAATGCTTGTCAAACTTCTGTTTGGACAAAATCTTGGTAAAAAAAAAACATTTTTTTTAGACAAAAAATTATAGTATAGGAAAACGTGGTGGATTTAAAGGGATTATTATTTAAACTGATATATAAACACGGCTAAACAGTCACGTATATTCGTTCGGTGGCGGCACCGACTAGTTTCGAGCCCAACGGGGGCCCTTCATCAGGATGAGTGGTACTGGTATTATTATTTGTAGTCAATCATTTGTTTTTTTCAAATCCAAAGCATTTAGTCATTTTAACTACTTAAGTCATATTGTACTTAATTTATAATCTTTGTCACGATAATTTGAATTTTATACAACGATTATTTTCCAAAATCCATATATTATATAACACGTATACATAACACAACCGATTTGTCATACAAAAAATATATATAATGAACAATTTATATAAATCTTTTATACCATTAAATAGATTTCCTAGTAGTAGATATATGTATGTTCTATATACCATAATATTATGGAAGCACAAAATTCCGTTTCTAATATCGTCTTGTCGTTTTTATATGAAAATACAATTTTTTTATCAATGTTGTATACGTTTAGGTACACGTATGTATTCATTATTAAAAAAAACCCTAAAAACACAATTTAGAGACGAAAAAAAAAACAAAAAAAAATGTGACTAATTTTTTTTTTGGAAATTTGTTTTCCTGCTGACCTTACTTGTCGATCTAATTTGTTCGAAGTATATCATACTTCGTTTGTTTCGCTGATTTAAAATATTTTTATAAAAACACTTTTAATTGCATCAATTAGGGTTTAATTTCGTTTATCAGTTCCATTGGTACTTTCAAAAACAAAAGTTTTATTTTTCAGTGTCATTTTTGTACAGAATTGTGTTTTTGAGGTTTTGTTTTCTATATAATGTATCTTATATCGATGTATTTTGTGCGGTGTTTTGTATTTGTGTACAAAAACGCTAGATTATAGAGAGGCGGCTTAGTTTTATAAGATTAGATCTTGTGAAAGAATAAGGAATTGGCTTGGCATATCAATTGATGGAGAAAAATTATATTAAATATTAAAATGGACTAAAGCTATAATAAATTAAAGTTTGATAGACTAGAATATGTATTTATATCTAGTCTCTCTCAGAAGGGGCATTATCGCGCCCCCAAAAATAAGAGTCACAATAATTTGCAGTCTCTCTTTGTATAATGAAAAGAAAAAATTGTAACAATATGACTTTTGTCTCTATCTGTACTTTTTTAATCTATTTTCTATTGGATAGTATTGAGTGAGGTTGTGAAATGCAACGAATGTATAGGTCCTAGGAAGGTTGTCCATCTTAGAATTGAAGATCTTGATATGTAGATGAAAAAAAAATGTGAACCGTAAATACAACGGGTTTTCACTATCGAAACATTCACACAAAAATATGTTGTCATCTTGCATTTTCTCTCTAAAAACTAAGATATTTAAAGTCTAAGTTTTGTGTATAACAGCGATGAAAGACTACATTAAAGCATCAATGCAAGTGGCGTTGGTATGGTTTTAATCGTGTTTTGTAGTTCTATTTACATTGGGGTTACTGTAGTGACATATATTGCCATCTCTTTCATTCTCTTTGAAAAAACAGAGACGGCAATATGTGTACACTGCAGTGGAAAAGTGACATAGCATGTAAGGTGCAAGCTGAGCCGCCTCTCTTCACGAGTGTACCATCTATATGTAAGGACTGTGTCATTGCAACTATAAACATTCCATTGCTTGTCATATAAGTGTTTTATTTATTCCCACCTTAGACAAGAAGCAGTGGAGTACTGCTGAAACATAATTTTAGAGAGACCGTATTCAGTTTAAACATCTATTAACTTTAATTAAAAAAAAACAAAACCCGATTGGCTGACGCCTTGGCAGAAATAGCGCCATCTTTTTTTTGCGTTATGAAACAAAGATTTAAATTTCAATAAAATTAACTGTAATGTTATATGTAACTTCCTTATTTTAGTTACTCGAAAGTATTAAAAACAATATTTAGCAATGTAAAATAAGTTATGGCCAGTGATTTTCAAACTCTTTTTTCACTAATTTAGAATTCAACTTCTTACGTCCACTATATAGTGGAATAAATCGAATGAGAACTCACTCGTCAAATTCAGTTGTTTTAGGTTCCAAGGTCGTCAAAATGTAAAATTAAAAAAACATGGCATGAAGAAATTTTTATTCATACATGTGGTATTTGGTAAATTCTATAAATAATGTATTATTTAACAAAATAAATATAATTAATCTTAAAAAAAATCTATAAAATATTTGATATTTATCATAAAAAAATCTATACATGGATAAAAAATAATGTCCATTTTAAATGACAGTCTTAAGCAGTATCTGATACTGTAAACTTTTTTTTAAAATAACAGATTTTTTATCGAGTTTACAAAATGCAAGGAAAATATTTTTCTCATCATAAATATAGTAAACACATTTTATGGTACTATTAAACAGTATTATAGTTTTCAGATATCTTGGCAGGTCTTAACTTCGCGCAAGTTGCTGCGCAGAACACAATTTTAGGTGTAGGGGAGGTAGCGGGATGCGGGGGGAGGGAACTGCGCAGCGCGTATGAACTTGGACTGTCAAGTCATGAAGAGAATAATACGTAAAAACCGGACTTTACAGTTATAACTAAATATAATATAAATATAAACATCTTTAGCTTACTTTGTCTATCTTTACTTCGTTGCTAACCGCGCTGCCGCCATTTTGAATAAAATCGTGTGTGCTATTTTCACTAGCGCGTTCGACTCCTATACAAAATGTGTGCGGCCAGTCGTGTTAGCCGCTAAGTGGCAATATGCACTAAATTACTAATATCTACTGACTACAGCACTAAATCGTAGATTAAAAAAGCGCGTTCTAATTCCATTCATGTCATTCATAAAAAGTAAAATTTCATTTTTCTGTTAATACTCTGTACTTTACAGGGTTATTTGCTAATAGCAACCTACATATAAATATTTCTACTGGAATGAAATCACATTTTTGTCATATAATTCTCGCTTCATATACCTTAATTCATCTACGCAATCTAACACAAAATTATTTAGATTTCCCAAGAAACTTCAAACACAAATATACTATATATAATCATTAATTAAATAAAAAAAAATTAAGGATAAAACACAATTAAACTGATCCAAAGAATTAATCAATAATATGATTTTCATTTGTTTAATTCTATCGCACTGTAATTTCTTTCAAACCCATACTATGTTTTCATATGACTGTTTCGCATTAGTACCGTGAGTTTCCACTGCAGAAACACCTCTGCAAAAACATTATTGTCCTTTCGCTGATTGTTCTCGATAAAACAGAGAACATTTTTGTTGGTAAACGGGCAATGGAAACTCAAGGAAATATATTCAATCTGAGATAAACGACTGGGATTACTCTGGTATCCTTTAAGATAATTTTGTCAACATCAAGCTTAAAATAACGCTTACATAAAATCTACAATCTAGTCACAGAAGCTTCGCAATCCCTGGTCTTCTCTTTGCCTTTTCCCATGAATTCCGCGTATATCTCCTCCGTGGTCCTCATCTTGGTCTCCGGGACGCAGAAGACGATGTACACTGTGCTGATGAGGCAGACCATCGCGAAACAGCCGAAGACGAAATGCAGACCGATGGAGACGGCAAGAGGTTGGAAGACTCTCAGCTCGATGGAGACTAAAGCGCACGCGAACGCGATCACTATTGAAGTAACGGTACCACGGAACTGAAATAAAAAAATATTATGATCAAAACAAAATAGCAAAAACGTACTTTGATATGTTCGCCTTTTATAGTGAGTTACAGAAAAATATCAATAAAAGTCCTCACATCGACTTGTTTAATATTACGCTTGCTGACATTGTAAACGATTTGAGCAGCAAATTCTTTGGTTGTCCAGTTCGCTAGCCGCTTGGTTTTCTTGTATTCTGTTTTTTCCATTTTTAAAATTGTCTATTCTCTTTGCGATGTTATTCTGTTAATTTTATTATCCATAAGCGAAAACTATTATTATTATTAATATAGTTTTCCAGTTATTAAATAAATAAAAAAATGCATCGCAGTGGGAGACCCGCCGACGGTATTCCAACCAAACCCTTTATTCACTTTTTTTTAGAATTACAACAAAATATTAAAAGAACCCGAAACATTCTGGCACGTATGCCTAGCGAGTTCACCGTGTTAAGTGAATACTAACCTGGAATGAGAACATCTCAGTCATAATAACGAAGGGTACAGGTTGTAGGCCGGCCGCGTCACAGTAGATGCAGAGGCATAACGCTGCAACAGGTAGAGCCGCGCCTCCCGCCCGCACCGCGAACCATCCTGCTAAAGCCGCTAGCGACACGCCGGATACCAAGCACGTCGTCCCTAGCAATGGCTGGAGAACACAATTGGTTATAAAATAAATTAAGAATTTTAAGCTCTGTCAAGTACCAGCAGTTAATAAACTCACCTTTCTGCCAGTCCTCTCGACCAAAGTAGAGGCGGTACAGGAGCCGATGAGTTGCACCACACCTAGTAGAGTCGCTTGCTGATTGGCATTGAGGACCCAGCCGCCACTCGCTTGGCTGAATATTAGAGACGCGAAGTGCAGTACAGCCAGACAGCCGCACAGCTCCCGAGCAAGTGTAATTGTCAGCGTGATACGGAAAGCACGGAATGTGTTCCGATCGGATACTGAAAAAGGTAAGTCTTATTAAAGATTTACCTCATTATAACTACGGTAGTACTACGCTGCAATAGCGCGACGACTACGCGTAGGCGCACCGCTAATCGATAAAAGTAAATAACACTCAACTAATCTGAGTGGCTAGACAAAGTGCATTCGTTCCGAAGCGATTCCGTAACGAATTGCAAAAATGTATGGAACTGACGCGCTACAATCAAGTGACTTATCGAAAGTTATTGGCAACTTTGTTTATCCACGCAGTTAATGCCTAACCTAACTTGCGATGAGTTTTACTTTTATTGTTTCCTTGTTTTTTATTTCATACTCAATGTACATGTTTTGTGACCACGTTGCTATGGCGTGGTCTGTGAGCTTTTGTAAATTTAATCAGTAACGGTTGATTAATAATATTTCTATTTAACGTAGTGTAGGCTTTAACACGAGTATTTCAAGGTCAGGCCTTAAATGCCAAAGTAATTAGATATCGTTGGTCCACCATGATTTATGATAATTTTTATCCTCTCACGATACCTCATCGTGGTTGTTGAGAATTTTTATAGTATGAAAAATCTAGTTCTGTTAATGTTTTTATAACTTTTTCCACATCATAATAATAATTAAATCGATTTTTAAAGTTGCACTCACAATAATCGTAAATAACATCTATATCATTATAGTAACCTGATTTTTAGAGCTTAAATTATAAGTTTTTATTTGAACAACTTGATCAAACGACAATTTTTAAAGTTCCTATTTTATTTCTTACAGACACTGTCTTCCATATCGAAGATATAGAATATTTAATAATAATTAATTAATTATTCATATTGAAATTCTCATAATATGACACTGGCTTGACTAATAATAATTAGTGGCGGATTAGTTTAACTTTCATAAAAAGTACTTGTATTGATTCAGACCGTCACACTATTGGTCGTTGCCTTCGATTCCACCGTCACATAATCATGGCGGGGAATAGAGTTTGCTTTGGTGGTGAGTAGTAGTTTACATTAACTTTTAAATTAATTTAATTGCACGTCAATCTGGACTATTAAGTACTCTTTGGTCTGGACGAACAGTCAGCAGAAGATATGAGAAAAAAAGGAAAAGTTGCTGTAAAATGTAAGTGGGATAAAGTGTCAAAGTGCGTAGTAAACTACTAAGAACATGGAGCATCAAATTCTACTCCAACGAGAAAAAAAAATTATGCAGCAGAAATCATTCTATGTCGGATAAGAAGACATATCAAATAAGGTAACCAAATAAACAATACAAAATCGGTTATGCAACGGAATATTAATAAATTTCCTTAAAGGATGTCGTCAATATGTAGGTACACATTTTCTTTCGCTAGAGTTCAAATAGAAAATTTCCTTTAACTGTAGTATCGGTAAAGCCTAACAATAACTATGTAAACAAACAGTAGACACGAGCTCGTTACCGGGGCCTGGGAACATATTGTTTAGTTATCACTACTGCCCACACACCATTACCGTTATTGCCGTCATAGTAATACAGGTCAAGTCTTTTCACCTGAATGCTGTTGTGTATTCTGTACTACAGAAGTTTGAACATAGATTTACCTACTTTAAGACTTACCTTACCTTTTTTGAATGAAAAATTGATATTACTAAACAATATTATAAAAAAATGTTTGATGATTTTCCGCGATTCCTTTCGTTCTTAATATACACAACGCCATAGACTTGCCTAGTAAATATAAGCAGCAAAGATCTTGTAAATATCAATTCTTTTAGACATTATAAATTAGAATCCTTTGGCGCGAATGGCGCGCTTTCATTACAAAGTCCAGTGACAGAATAATTAGTGAGGGGACATAAACGTCGTCATTTTAGTAAGGCTAGTGTTGTGCCAGTACACGGGCACAGTGTCGGATTTTCTACATAACAATTCGTACTTACTCAGAACTTTGAGAACTTCGAAGAATTTTACAGAGTTGTCTTGCTCCATCTCTAGCAGTAAGGCCTGTAATTCTGAGTCCACTGCTGCATCACCCGGCTGCCGGCAACGTAGCCACGCCAATGCACCGCGAGCCTCCTGAACAATGTATTCATGATTATTCCGAGTATTTGCGTCAACCTTTTTGGCGCCACAAGGTTAGTTGCGCAATGCGCCTCCCTCCCCTACTCCACTACAAGTACTATATTTCCAAATAAACAATTCAAAACACATTTTTTGATAAACATTTTTTTGAAATTCTTTAAAGAATTTGAAGCATTTTAAGTTCAAAAAATTATTCCCCCCGTTACAAGGTTGAATTTGGATGAAGTGTCATAAAAAAAAACTAGAAACATAACAAAACTTTTATGCAGAAAACATAGAAAAAATAACTTACATCAACTTTACCACTTTTAAGGAGGAAAGACGGTGTTTCAGGCATTGTGATGAAGAGAAGCAAATGTATCAAGGGCACGGAGAGACAGATCCACAGCGTAGTATTATAGCAGAGGTACTCTCCAGCAATGTAGACCAGCAGGTTTCCCAGGTTCTGGGAGAGGATGACCAGGCTTCCAAGGGTACCCCTGATGGAATCTTCGCTGACTTCCTTGATGTATAAAGGGGTAACCACATACGATCCACTCACGCCGAAGCCGACTATCGCACGAGCTAATATCAACGCCCATGTTGATGTGGAATAGATCTTCAAAGACCAACACGCCTGTGAACATTAAAGGTAAGATTAATCTTATATATATATTTTTAGACATTTTAGAATCCTTTAGCGCGAATGGCGCGCTTTTGTTACCAACTCAAGTGTCAGACTGCTTAGTGAGGGGACATAAACGTTGACATTTTAATAAGGCTAGTGTTTCGCCGATACACCGGCACAGTGTCGGACTTTCTTTCTAACAGTATAAAATTCTCGTGTCATAATGTTAGTTACCATACTCTTCCGAAACGGCTTGACGGATTGTTACGTAATTTTATATGCATAGTATACTGATAAACGGCTACTATTTATTTTTTTATTCCACGCGGACGTAGTCGTGGGCTACAGCTAGTTTTTTAATAAATTCGTTAAAAAAAACTGGTATGTAATTTTTTTTCATAATTTTTAATTCTTTTATTAGACATTATTTTCAATTTTAACAGAATTTAAACACAGTACAATGATCTCGTCTTTTTACTAAAGATTCCGAAATTAATCAAACTGATAAGATCTACAGTTAAAAACTACAAAACCTGTTAACATGAAATATTTTTGCACGTGACTAAGTTGTAACGGCATTGTCTATGGGTTATTTAAATGTAACAAGCATGCAATGGATATTTAAGATAATACTACCGTTAATTTATACGTAGGATACTGGTCTAGGTTATGCGTTTTTAAATTTTAAAATTCGAACAAAAACCGACCTCAATTGTAATTAAGAGGCATTGTTAATGAGAAGAAAAACTGAAAGCTCTAATTAGTTGGCAGCATAGCCAAGAATCCGCTGTCATCTGTCAAAATTGTTATAAGTCATTCTCGTGATTTTTTTGTGCCTGTGCCAGATTAAAAAAGTTTAAAAAGAAATAGAAAAGTGTACAGAATTCTTTGTATATAACGTGAAGTGTTTCTTGTATATCTGTAGTATATTTAGTGCTAATTACTCTCTTGATCAAGCTGATATCTATAGTGAAAAATAGGTAATTTTTCATCTCAATAAGAAGAGATTATGCAAAATTAAAAAGAAGTGACATTTGGTTTAAACAGTTTTAGAAAGATTTTTTTTTCATACAAACTTACTGCCATAGACAAAGATGTAAGCATCAGAGCTTTCTTCCTTCCAAAATTATCCACAATAAAACCGAATAAAAAGACAGCCGGTGTTCCAACCAAGTACGGAACTGAAGCCATCCATGATATCACATCCTGATGTACTGGTTCCGCTGCCGGAGAGTCTTCGGACATTAACTTGGGACCCATTGGAGAGAGCCATCCGATCGCTGTGCCATAGGAGAAAACTGGTAGCACCACTGTGAACAAAATTAATAAATAGAATTTGTCCTTGTTTTTATGTCATAAAAGAAGGATAAAAACGTCTGCTATACAACTTGTTGATCATAATGTGAACCATTTCCATTGCCGAAACATCCATACGAAACCGAATCTGTTAGTTTTAAGGCGACCAACAACTACATAACTCACCCCCGAAACCCAGCGGCGTATGCTGAGACTTCTGGCCATTTCTCGCGGTCCTGTCATACCTCTCTCTGCATTCATATATCTACGCATACATGCACATCGGTTTTCGGTGCTATTAGTTAGGTTTGCGCAAGCGCAGTGAAAACCCACGTTAAGGTTACCCAGTAACAGTTAACTAATGATATTACTAACAAGACATATCAGATGCATACCAAACAGTTACATAACAAAAGGTGAACGCCAGTTTTATTATTCATAATTCATTACATCATTGCAATTGACAAAGATAAAAATAAAATACTCTGTTCAATTAATATCAATTTTACTTCAACATTGTAAGAGCAATCGTATTAATTATAGAGGTCACTCAAGGTTAGGAGATGCATACACGTGCTTCTAGAAAGATCTATTACTGAGACAATCTAGACTTAAGTAGCCGCTATATCTGGTTACAAATAAGCTATAAGTAAGCTGTTAGGCAGTTAGTAACAGTTACAGTCCACCAAATATATTCTCTTCGTACGATGACCGCTTTTAAAAGTAATTTGTAACATCGGAATTCATGTTGTCCTAGTAACGAAAGTATTTATTCTTCAGAGCATAGATAGTGTTATTTTAAATCGGAAATGAATCAGAACTTTTATGTTGTTGTTAAAGAACTAAACATTATAAAAAGACAAACAACTCGTCTCTTGATTGATTTCAACGAGCCAAAGCTTGATTTACTGTGAAGTTCCATCGTCCACTTTCCAGCTCTAACATCAGATCAGCACCACATCATAATATTGCATTGTAATGCGATTTACACATGTTTGCAAAATTTTAAACTAATTGGTAACATGAAAGTGGTTTAAATTTAAATTGCATGATTTGTTGACAAACATCGGGACCGGTGATACAACTAATTTGTTAAAAGCAATTTTCAAGACATATTTATATTTGCACTAAGTGTTCATAACCGTTAGACTTTAAAATCAAAATAAAAAAAAGTCTTCGACATAAGACTAAAGACAATTTAAAGTGCTAGAAGCTCATGGATCGTTCGAAGTTCATGAAAAAAACATTGAACCCGAAGTAAAGGCTAAAAGGCAGACGAGACGATTCGGCGTCGTGTAATTATGAAATGTACATTACGAGCACATTGAATCTGTTTGTTGATGTTCTCTTCAATTAAGGCATTAAATTTATGTTTTTGTTTGTATCATATCAATACAGTGATACTACGTCTTTTGTTAACTTCAATAAATATAATAGGAATGTTTGGATGTATGTTATCAAGTAATTTAATTGACATTTTGCGTAAACACAGCACAGGAATAATGCTTTAGAATCTGGACGCAGAAGCTACTTTTTTTTTAGGAAACATGTGTCAGATGGATATTTGTTCTTACTTTTTACATAACTATTCAATAATTTCGAAAAGCAATTAACAATTAATTCATTTTTTTTAATTCTATGCTAACAAAATTTGAATCTTTTTAATTAATCGGTATTTTTAATACACAACCTTAATTAAATGATTACTATTAAAAATTATCTATTTCAAATTTAGTCGAGTAATCGTTGGTTGAGACCTGTTTAAAACATGTTGTTATCTCTGTTTTCTTAAATATAATGAGCGGGATGACAATATGTTTTATACAGGGACTTTGGTCTCTGAAAGCAACAATAAGTTATTTGTAATTGCATTTATTATCACTTCCAATTATAGTGTGCAGTTTACACTTGACCTTGGTGATAGAATGCCAGGGGCCGATGACTACATAGAGCAGTCTGACCGGTCCATCGTCACTTGTTGCTAGGTGTTTTAGGGCTGCCACCTCATAGATTCAGACCCTTTTGGTGTTGATGGCTTCGGGTCAAAGTTATGAAAGGAGTCAAGGGTTGACATATAACTGTTTTTGGTTAATTTTCACAACTAGAGTTTGAATCTAAAGTCCGACTATTGATTTGACTCGGTATACAACAGTGAACCTAAATTACAAGAGGGCGAAGGGCTCTTTGACTATGACAATAAGGTGCCATATGGTCTTTGCTGGACTGTGTCCACTTTATATCTCACTGGATTACTCTTATTCGGAGACTAAACGTTTATTGAAGACTAACTGTCGCCCGCGACCCCGTCCGCGCGGCGTTAAGAAAAAATCTCAATAAGTAGCTTAAGTGTTCTTCCAGACTATATTCTACATCTGCGCCAAATATCATCAAGATCCGTTGATACGTTTCAAAGATACCTTCTAATAAACATCCATCCATGTAAATATTCGCATTAATATTAGTAAGATTGACAACCCTAGATGTTTGGTTAAAGAACCAGTTCACTTCGACGCTTAACATTCATGAATGAGATACGTAATATATCTAGTCTGGTGTAAGATTTATTAACTGAATACTATACAGCGGACGAACCAGTTATAGTTGTATATACATACATCACCTAGGATACCAATAGACCTAGCACGAATATTTGCGATAAATGCTTTTAAAAAATGAGAAGTATGAAATTTTTTGGTGTACTTCTTGCCCGATAGGGGGCGCTGCACAAATTTTAATAAAATTTTTTCGATGACAATGCGATGGTGCTTGTCACAACTATTCGTAATACGTCCAAAGTTTGTGAGAAATTGACAAAATATTGATGGACATGTAACAGATGTTAGCCAGTGGCTAAATTTAAGTATTCCCGCGCTTGTCCTACACTAAAGAAATCTTCTTTCTGTCCGTCCCCTCCCTTGCAGATCAAAACAAGACAACATATCTTCATTTGAAGCCTCTGAGCATTGATCACTTTGCTATTTTAACAATATTAAATGACCTTGTTTGGCACATTAGTATAAAAAAGATGATATAAATTATATACCTTTTGCCGAGTGATTAAAAGAATGTGTTTTAAATGCGCAACGTCTCCACTATGAATGCTGACGACATCTGAATATACTCTATTCTCGTTCTCGAAATATCACGAATTCAAATTATTAAAATGAGTGAAAACTAGTTTGGTCAGCCAGTATCTGGAATGATTAAATTCTCGACATTTCGCTAATTTCGTGCCTAACTTATTCATGACTAGCTGTCACCCGCGAGTTTGTTCGCGCGTAATAAAAAAAACATAATTATTAGCCTAAGTTTCAGCGAGATCCATTCAACCGTTTATATGAGAAAAAAAGGGCTGTTTTAGGGTTTTCCCGGCAATTATTCTCACCTTTTAAATCATCCCTAGACCTCCACGAACATTTCAATACGTGGATAAGATAAAACTGTTCAGCCGTTCTCGAGTTTTAGAGAGACTAACGTACAGCAATTTATTTTTATATATTTATAATATAAATATCTGAAAATCCCCAGAACAATAAGCTGATGAGCCTCAACCCAATAATCCAGTCCCATTCACCCTGAAGATGGGTCACTTACTGGCTCGACTAGTCGTTGTTGACATCAAATCGCGTGAGTGTAAGCTCCTAATAATTTTATTTTATCTTACTAATATCTTACTTCTTACTAATATTGTAAATGCGAATGTTTAGATTGATGGATATTTGTTTGAAGTTATCTCCAAAACGTCTGCATGGATCTTGCTGAAATTTGGCATATATGTAAAATAGCCTGGAAGAACAAATAGGCTACTTAGTTTTTAATTCCACGCGGACGGAGTCGTGAGCGACAGCTAGTTTATAAATAATAAGTATAGTTTATATAACCATTCACAATTATTTTATTACTTTATTTATTGGCGGTGTTCAAAAGCTCCTAACATGCGAGTATGTACTAAAAGAAAATATACATATAAAACCGGTAGTATCCTAGACGCAAGACTTGCCTTGAACTTGTTGAATATCTATACTAAATTGAATCGATTAAACAATACTATTTTAGTAAATATTTAAGAAAAAAAAACATTAAATCCGAAACACTGCAGAAAAACAAATCAAATCTCTTCTCTCTCTTCAAATATGTGAATCAGATATTACACGCCCGCTAATCAAAAAGTTTTACTTTTATATCTATCGCCCGCGACTCCGTCCGCAGAATTAAAAAAAAAACAATACATAGCCTATGTGTACTTCCAGACTATGTTCTAAAGGCGTGCCTAATTTCATTACAATCTGTTCAACCCTTTCGAAGATACTTTCAAACATCCATCTAAACATTCGCATTTATAACATTAGTAAGACTAGCTGATGCACGCGACTACGTCCGCGCGGATTTAAAAAAAACATAATAAGTATCCTATGTGTTCTTCCAGACTATGTTGTAAATGCGTGCCTAATTTCATTAAAATTCAGCCGTTCCGAAGATACCTTAAACAAACATCCATCTATTCAAACATTCGCATTTATAATATTATACCATTAATTAACATACAATCTTGTGACAGTTGATTGCGTCTTTCTTTATATAAATCAGAGTATTGAAACGTCTTTGTTATGATTGTCACATGCGTAAACAACATGTGCTTTGATCCTACGATGAATTATTGGTCTTGATTGTTTTGCTTATACCACTGTAGTACTCAATTATCTGACCGCTGAAGGACCATTTCCATGATGCGTAATTTCGAACGAACAACAACACGTGGAACAGTCTCGTTTATATCCACTCGTGGCTGTCAGGATAACCAGCAAATTGCGTGTTCGAACGTTAAATTCGAGTTTTTTTTAATAATAAACTCATGTGTTTGTAAAAATCTGTATACATATAAAGAAAGTCGTGTTAGTTACACTATTTATAACTCAAGAACGGCTTTACCGATATGCCTGAAAATTGGTGAGGAGGTAGCTTAGAGCCAGGAGACGGACATAGGATACTATTTTTTTTTCGAATTTATACTTTG